CCTCTAAAAATAAATCATTTGTTAAAAATGGCATTTACAAGTTGCCATCACGCTGGCAAGAAGTCATAAGTAACGATGGAAAGTATATTCTACAATAAATATTATTAAATGCATGAAAATTGTGTGTTATATATTTCAATTCAAAAACGGACAGAACTTTTCGGTAGACCTAATGTTACGAAGGGATTCAATGCGATCGATCGATTGCAGACCAGTTACAGTACATACAGAAAAAATGATTAGTATTCGATTTCGTTCCAGATGGGACGGAGACGCGTCTGACCGTTACGGCCGAATCTCCTTTGTATGAGCAACGCGCACGCGAGTTCGCGCAAGCGATGAGTTGTTATTAGCACGCCTCGGGAACCGCAGTCAGTAGTCAGTTGCCCGGAGACTCGCGTACGCGACGAACTTAACAGCAACACATCCCGATTAGTGATACACGCACGTGACATGAAACACGAAAGCCAATTGTTTTAAGTGTGGTGCACATGTTTCACACGTCGGTGGCTACTATTATCCAATAATCGAAATGGTGAGCACCAAAGATATGCTTTCTCTAATCGATTTACACGTTTGTAATTTCTTAATTTCCTTTAATTTCTTCATTTCCGCAATGTGTACTGTCGTTGGTTAACGTCTAAACAACAGACACTAATCTCGCTGATTTTCGATCGAATATACAACGCATTATAGAATCTACATATTTAGTATTCTAACATAATCGTGCGATTCTAATAATGACGTTATCAAATGTACATTTGTGATTACATTTTGAAACGAAATATCATTGTCCCTGTCATGTTTGATTACGCATAAAATAATGATTTACTTTATAATAGATACGGTTGTGTTTAACTTGTTCGTATTGAATATTTGTAATCTGAGGGAATAGTTTCGTTTCATCACACCCTCCCCTATTTTTGTTGTTTCTTGTTTAATATTGTTTAATATTGTTTTATTTTATTCGAATATATTTAATATTATTTTATTAGTAACGCAACATTAAAGAATATAAATTAGGATGATGAAATAGGATTATGAATTAAAGGATATGAATTATTTGCAATAGGACGGTCTCGCAATCTTGTTCATTTACAATTTTATTTGCAGATTTATTTGCAGGAAATTGTCATGCAAACTACGATTCTAATGCAATTTTAATAGAAGCAGTTAAATTGTTTTATTTTAAATGTTAAATTATTTTATCAGTTTTGTTTAATATAAGCTTGTAAAGTGTAACGCAACGTGAAAGAATATAAATTAGGATGATGAATTAGGATTATGAATTAAAGGATATGAATTATTTGCAATAGGACAGTCTCGTAATCCTGTCTCTTATACACATCTAGATGTGTATAAGAGACAGGAATTAGGATTATGAATTAAAGGATATGAATTATTTGCAATAGGACGGTCTCGCAATCTTGTTCATTTACAATTTTATTTGCAGATTTATTTGCAGGAAATTGTCATGCGAACTACGATTCTAATGCAATTTTAATAGAAGCAGTTAAATTGTTTTATTTTAAATGTTAAATTATTTTATCAGTTTTGTTTAATATAAGCTTGTAAAGTGTAACGCAACGTGAAAGAATATAAATTAGGATGATGAATTAGGATTATGAATTAAAGGATATGAATTATTTGCAATAGGACGGTCTCGCAATCTTGTTCATTTACAATTTTATTTGCAGATTTATTTGCAGGAAATTGTCATGCGAACTACGATTCTAATGCAATTTTAATAGAAGCAGTTAAATTGTATTCAGATCGTTTTTGTTTTGGGGATGATTTTAAGCAGAATTGTTTCCTCCATTGAGAGCAAACAATTATTCCTTCAGCTCGTTAATCCATGAATTTAATATTTAACAATGCTCCAACATATTCGAAAGAGAAACGATACAATAAGGTCTTGCTACATTAATTATCGATCTCGTTCCCAATCAGAATTTCAATTGTATTCTCATTTTAATTAAAATCAATGTTATCATTATCATTACTGCGAACTGTAAATGCATTCTGCAACGTTATTTACTCGAACGCTACCGACTTGAATCAGAAAAGGAACTCGATATTTAAATTTGCATAATCCTAATCGATATTATCTGCAAACTATAGGCTGTGGAGTTAATCGGCCATCGTCGACGTAGACGAAGCTAATGCAAACATTATAAAGTCAATCTGTGCAGCTTATCAAGACTGATCGATAGTTCAAAGTTTATAAACATCATCCGCGATTAATCTAATCCTCGGTGGGCCACCATTTCATGAAACAACGTAGTACGTTAAGTAAACAGAAACATATTGCAAACGAAATTGTGCATTACGAAACGTTCCATTTTGTCATTGCGTCGCGTAATGTCCAACAATTTCGAAGTTGCTGCATGCAACATTATGCGCGCGCCACTTCGAAATGCAAGAAAATACAAATCTGCATGTACCAGCACTTTTGTTGCGCAACAATAAAATGAAAATGTCGTTGCGCGCGTATAGGGTGCAGTCTCCCAATGACCCTTGAAATGTCTGCTCGCGAGCATACCGACGTTTGTTGACACAGAGTACGTGATCCAGAGCGATAAACAGTGATCTCTCGAACACGAGTTTAGTCTGGAAAAGCTGCAACAAAATTCGTGCTGCACATTTAAATTTCCGACATTATTATATCATATCATTTTTCGTTCACAACATCCATCCTGCGTTACAGCAAAAACAACGCACTTTCTTTCTGATGACTTCCAACAAAGATATTGAGTGAAC